CCCACCCCCTACAGCCCACGCTCTGACCCCAGCATAATCCATGGGGAGGGCTGGCTCTGTGGGACTCACATTTGCCACTGGGTTCAGAGCAGCTGGGCACAGCGGGCCCTGCAGGATATCGACAACTTCTAGGCGGGCAGCAGTGGGGTGGCATGTTATTTCCGCCTGTGAGCATGAGTTTCTCCCCCTCCCCTGGTGCCCAGCCAGGCAATCACTCGTTCACTTGCTGATCACCCTCTTCACTGTGCCAGGCTGTGTCTGACTCCCAGCAGTTGTGGGCAGAGCAGAGACCCAGCCTCACACTCACCTCCTCACCCTTGATTGCTCCATCCCTGCCCTCTGTGGTGTCCTCCCTGTGCCTTATTGGTGGATGGGATAAATTCCAGGAGCTGGACTCTCCAGCTCAGCCCACGCCTATCTCCGATCCAAGCCCTCCCCCAGGAGCGGCCATCACCAAGTTGACCAGCCTCTCAAATCGCAATTTGACAATTGGAGCTCATGAAATGGTATGCCCCATTGTAAGAAAAAGGATCAGTGAGGATACTTGGGAAGGGTTCTGAACCCAGTTATAGTGTGGGTGGGGAGTTCCTATACTACCAAGCAATTCTCTGATACCAGCTGATGTCCTACAATTCAACTCAATTCTGACGCATTCTACCCAGAGATAGTGTCAGATCCACAGGTTAAGAGTTCAGTCCTGCAAGACTACCCCCACCCCTGCTCCCCCATTTCAGATGCCAATCCCAAGTCCAGGTTGTTACCTGTGCTTCTCACCAACTGGCTATGAACCAGAGGTTCCCACCACTGCCTCCTTGGGTTTGATTAATTTTCCAGAGTGGATCATAGAATTCAGGAAACCCTTTTACTCCTTAGATTACCATTTTGTTATAAAGGATATAACTCAGGGACAGCCAGATGGGAGAGATGCATAGGATAAAGTGTAGAGAAAGGGCTTAGAGCTTCTGTGCCCTCTCCAGGTGCCACTCTCCCCAATTTCCATGTGTTCACCAACCTGGAAGCTCCTGAATCCTGTCCTTTTGGGTTTTTATGGAGGCTTATTACATAGGCATGATTGATTAAGCCATTGGCCATTGGTGATTAAGCTAGACCTCCAGTGTTTGTTCTACCCTCCCTGGAGGCTGGGGGACTGGTAGGACTGATCACATGGTTGGTTCCCCCTCCATAAAGTCCCCACCATAAAGTCCCCATCCTTAGGTGGGGTCCAAAAGTCACCTTGTTAACAAACGACACCTTTACTACTCCTATCACTTAGGAAATTCTGAGGATTTTTGGAGCTCTGTACCAGAAATGGGGAGGAATACCAAACATATATTTCTTATTTAAAATCACAATATCATACTTGGTTTATCTTGAGAACGAGGCAGCCAGTTTGTGGGGAAGCCAGAATGCCATGGTCCCTTCTGCATTCACTGGCTGTGTGACCTGGGCCTCTTCCTGTCTTCTCTGAGCTGCAAAGTCCCCAGCTATATTTAAGAGGTGTGTTGAATATGGCCTTTCCAGCCCAGGCCTCAAGTGATTCTCATAGGCTGGATCTAGGTCCACAGAAACCTAGGTCCAGGGTCTGAATGTTCCTCCCTACAGCCTTGGGGAAAACCTTTGTGAAGCTCTGCTCCCAGAAAACAGGTGAAAGCTTCCCAAGAGTCAGAATACCAATCACCCTCTCCTCCTCTACCCGAGTCCAGTGCCTGGGGAGAAAGATCAGAAACCTCATTCATGCCAGTTCCAGAAACATGAATTGGTATCAGTGGATGCCTATGATGCTGTTAGGCAGGGAATCTGACTAGCCCTGCCCTTAGACCTCACAGCCCAAGATAAGACAGGGAAACACTTGGCTATGCCAAGTGAGGCATATTGATGGGCAGAGGAAGGGATTGCATCCCGCAGAAGCCTTTGGGTAGGTGGCCTAGGAACTGGTAAATAGCGGGAGAAGGTGTGGGAGAAGAGGATTCCCAGTGGAAGGAACAGGACAGGCCAAGGTGCAGGGGAATGGAGGGCTATGCTGTGGCTGGAGAGGACAAGGTGTGTATGTTTTGGAGGAGGAAGAGGAGGCAGGAGAGACTGGCTGGGACCAGAGGGGCTCAGATGCCAGCTGAGGAGCTGGGACTTTAATCTTGTAATATGGGATTGTTTCTTCTAATTCCAGTGCATTCTGGTGTTTGGGTTGCTGGGCAGGGCAGGGTGGTACCTCCTAGGCCTGAGCTAGACAAAATGCTCAGCTAGGAGTTTATAGGATTTTATAATCCAAAGCATTTTGAGTCAGGATGGGAGGTCCAGTGCTAGCGGACTTTGGGAAGGAAAGACCAGTATCTACTCTGCAGCCAACCGAGGCCCCAGCTTTACTGAGCTCCTACACCCTGCCACACTGGGGCTATTTCCTCAGGCCTCACTAGGCTGAGACCACAGGTGTTGGTCTGTGATCGTCCAGCAACTCAGACTAGAGTGGCCACCAAAACACAACATTCTGGCCTGAAGGGCACTTGCTGGGTAATCCTAGTCCCTGATACTCTGGACTTGTTTGATGGGAATGTTGAGGAGGGAATGCACTGCTCAGCAGGTCGAGGTTCTCAAGCCTGACTTGCTCACTTAATGTGTTAATTGCTCTTCCCAGACACATGCTGCATTACAAGTCCCAGGTGTCATCCTGGCACACAGTGTGCCTGTCAGTGTGCATGTGCCTGTGTGTGCTCATTTCTGTGTTGGTGTGTGAGCATGTAAGGGTGTGTTTATAGAGTACTGATAAAAGCTCTTCCACCCTGGCTTCAGGCTTGAGGTTTGAACACCTACATTGAGATGATCACCGCAACCCTGGTTTGTTCCCTTGCAACACCAAACATTGGTCTATCTTGTTTTATTCCCTGAAGTATCTGTTTTTCCTCCATGCCTGGGTAGTTCTGTGTGGTTGTTTGGTTTAATGCAGCCTCTAAAGATAGAGCTGGCAGGAGGCAGAGAGAGGTTCCTGGAGCCAAGGTTTATCTAACACAGGGAGGTATATGACTACATGTGCTCCTTCTGTGTGGCCATATCAGGGTTGTAGGGTTGTGTGAAACAGAAACTGACTATCTTAAGTAAGAAAGAAATTTGTTGGAAACATATCAGGAGTTCATAGAATCAATGGGAAGGTTGAAGATTCAGGATCCAGGGTCCCATGGGCTATCTTATTGAGTGGGAGGGGCTCCAGACAAATTTGCCCTCTCCTTTTGCCATCCTATTCAGGATTTAAAGCACTGGACCAGAGTGTTTGGTTGGAGCCTATGCCCATGCATGATTTATAGCTCCATTAAGACCAGGAAACAGGGATGCTGTTAGGAAGGGAGATGGACTCTGAGCATTAAAACAAAAGAACAATGAAAGGGGAAAAAAGACAAAAAACAAAAACAAAAACAAACATGGTGTCCATTATAATGATCTTGGGCAGGCCGCTGGTCCTCTCTCAGATGAGGCCTTTTAAGGGAAAAGGAAGAAACTGGACTTAATGTCCTTCAAGGGATTCTCATTTCTGATGGTCTGGGTCTGTGATCAAAGAAGGATGAAGCTTCTATGATTTAGAAAATGTTAAAAATGTTCAAATGACAGAACAGGAACTTCTGTGTTAGTGGGGACTCAGAGCCATCTGTTCTGAGCAAGAGAGAGAGGCAGAGATGAAGCATTCTGAACAAAATTTGTGAGGCAGCCCCAGGCTGGGGGATGGAGGGGGTACAACAAATCCCCAACTTGGCAACAGCAGGAGCAGAGAGGAGGTACCTTCTATTCACCTGTGCGTGGTGACCTGTGGAGAAGGTAATCGAAGGGTGGAGGCAAATGACACATGGAAGCTAATGGAGGGTGGAGTCAATTAGGGAGAAAATGCCTTTTTCAAAAGGGCCAGAAGAGGAATCTGGCTGGTTTCTGAGTCACTCAGAGCAACAGACACATGATGCAAATCAACACATACTTCCTGAGCACCTGCTAAATGTCATTTGCTCATTCAATCAACAAACATTCTCTGAACATCTCCTCTGTACTAAACTGCGGAGATGAATCAGAGTATGGGCCCTCGAGGCTCACAGCCTTCTGTGGGGTGGGTGTGTGTGTGTGGTGGATTCGTGTACAAACATAATCAGCACGATGTGTTTAGTGTGACGGAGTGATACACAGGTTACTCAAGTAACCCAGAAGAGGAAATTATAATTGTTTAAGTTGGTCAGGGAGGGCTTTCTGGAGGAAGTCACGTCTGTACTGGGTTTTTTAAGGACAAGTCGGAGGAATGAACTAGGTAGACAGCATAGGCAGAGCATGACTAAAGGGCCTGGGGGGTGGGGGTTGCCCATGTGACGCTCTCCATGGTTCTGAACCGTCATTGCTTTAGTAGGACAAAGGCTTTTGTGTTGAGGGGAGAGCAGGAACTATACATAAATGTGCCCAATTCCTGCCACTCCTCTAGGCTCTAGGAAGTATAATTACTGTGACTGAATTCAAGGAGCTCTATTTTCAGTGTGGCGTAATGTAATTTTGAGAGATGGGTAGTAGGATTTGAGGCTGGAGATTGGCATGGGTCATGAGGGGTTATGAAGGGTCTTGAGATCATGTTAAGGAACTTAGATATTGTGATCCTATAGGCAGTAAGGAGCTATGGAAAGGTATTGTGCAAGGTAGTAATGGGGTCATATATATGATTTTTAAAGTTGCTGGCAAGAAATATGGAAAAAGACTGGAAGGAAAGTTGGAGCAGGTGGTGTTGAGCTTTAAAAGGGTCCAAGTGAGACCTAGAGAGTTTTGAGCTAAGGCAGTGAGCAATGGGGACAATGAGAGATTTAAAGAGAAAAAAGTGGACAGGACCTAGATGTAGGAGTTGAAGGAGGAGAAGGAGTCCCAGATGGCTCCCAGGTATTCTGCTCAGTGACAATGTGGATGATGGAGCTGTTTGTCAAGAAATAAATGATACCAGGGTGGGAGAGGTTTAGGGGAAAGATGATTTCAGTTTTGGATGTGCTGAATTCAAGGTGCTGTGGGATGTCTGGGGTGGGGGGATGTGCAGGAGACTGCATATGGACCTAGTGCTTGGTGATGAGGCCACATCTAGAGATGATTAGGGTGTCATGGGCATGGGATGATTGATGATTGGGGGACTGGGAAGGGGACCTTAGGGCCCAGCTTAGAGCCATGATTGTGTCTCCTTCACAGCTGGGCACAGTCCTACAGTCAGATACTGTGTTCTAGCTGGCGCCATTACACATGAGGGTCATTGCTGGGGCCCATTCTCAGCCCCATGGAGCTCCTAAGTCTGTCTTTGCCTGTTAATCACTTGTCATCCCAGGCTAACCAGTGGAACTTCCTCTATCTGGGTTTGCAGGCTTGAGCTCAGCAAACTGGAAAGAAGCAGCAAGGCAACTTTCAGAATGAAATGTTTTCCTAACCCTTCCGTCACAGTCATTCATACACAACATGCCGAAGCATATTTTTAGTCACTTCGCAGAATTTAAAATACACCTCGAAGGCGCCAAGAAACACCAGCTTGGGGATTAACTCTGCTCACAAGAGGCAGTAGGGAGGATGTGGAGGGGTGCCTCATGCTGTGTCACCCTTTTGCTATGTCATGATTCATTGTGGCCGACACCCTCACAAGATGCACCTGCCTGTGGACACTGGGTCTGGAGCAGTCTGTAGTGGGAACTGAGCTCCCAGCGCAGGGGTTTTGTATCAGAGCCCTGGGTCAGCACCAACCCTGTCACTGACTAGTCACATATCCATGATGGGGTCATTTCTGGGCCCTGAGACCTCTCTGTGAAACACAAGATAATTCTGATTTCCCAGGCTCTGTCTAGTTCTACCATTTTGTCTTCAGCACTTTGTACAGGATTTTAATTTCAATCAAAGCTTCAAACAGATGAGTGGGGAAGGGTGGGGGAGGGGTCACAGAACCACGGCACTTCTGAGATTGGTGAGAGTGGTGATTGTGGCCCTGAACGCAGAAGCTACCCGACCACTCCCCAAGGGAGACAGAACTCCACACTCTGCTGACCACTCATAGACTTCCAGACTGAATCCTATCCCCAGAGAGGGAAACTAAGACCCAGAGGGAGTTAGGGGTCTAGTCCAGGGTCATGCTACCCTCCAGGGCAGAGCTGCACTAAGACCCAGCCTCCTGTCTTCCATTCAGGGCTCTGTCCCTTACCTAGTGCACAGCTGGAAGTCCGATGCTTGAGGATGCCACACCCTCAGGAAAAAATGCCCCTTTTTAATGCCCTGCTTCTGGTGGGCTTCAAATGGAGCTCTGGCTCTCTCTGCCAGGGGCTGCTTCTTGGTGAGCCAGGAGTAAGGTCTCAGCATACACACAAAAATGGGCCCAAGGGGAGATTGGGGGCTGGATATGGGTTTCCCTGGGGAGGTGGCCAACATAGCCTTCTGTGCCTGTGGAGGACTGGGTCCTGGACCAAGCCTCCACTGGTTACACTTCTTGAACTGATTAAATCAGGGCGGGTGAATAGCTGCTGGAGTGGCCACCGGCTCTCCTAGAGGCGCCCAGACTTAGCTGAGACCCTCTCTCCATGATGTCCAGATGCCTTGAGCTCCAGCCTTCGGCTGTCCCCCAGAGTCTCCGCCAATAGCCCACTCGCGTGGAAGGGCATGGGGAGGGAGGGCATTGAGTGGGTGCTGGAGAGTGCACCTATTGCTACCTCCGTAGCTCCCACAAGCCCCCTCCGTTGCCCGCCTCCGTAGTCGCGCGGCTCCAGCGTGACTGCGCCCCCGTCGGGCGGGAGGGACTCAGCCCTAGGGCCCTCTACCGCCTCCCTGCCCCCCGGGGCAGCACGTGCGAGGCGGAGCTGTGGCTCCTGCTTGGAGCTGATTGGGCGCAAACTGGTGGGCGGGGCCGGACCTCAGCTGTCAGAGCTGCTTCGGCGGCGACGGCGCATCGGGCTGAACCGTGGCCGCGCCGCAGCCGGGGCCGGAGTACAGGAGCCGACCGGGCCCGGCCGGGATGGTGCAGCGACGGCTCCGCGGCGCACACACGCACTGAGTGGGCCCAAGCTGGGCCGCGCGTCCCCCGCGCCCCCCGCCGCCCCGATCCCGGCTG